CAAAGGTCACATTTATTAATCAGTTAAAGATCATTGTTCTCCAAATCAGTTAGCATAACCTCCTTGTGTCTCTCTGGCAAAATTAAAACAGGCCTATAGGCTATAAAACAGCTGGGGAGCTCGCCAACACACATAACTCTGTCTAGACATTGGAATTAATACAAAGTGACCGTAACACTAAGAACTGCCAGCTGAAGAGGCACATTGCAATTAAACTGCACAAGCAAAATATAATAGAATGATTTTGCAGACTACTGAGGCCACACTGATGGACAGCAAAGGCTAAGCTATGCTTTTACATCATCCCTGCTTAATGCTTGGACAAGCAGCTTTGTACAGGTATTATAAAGCACTATGCAACAAGATATTGTCTGGATGGTGTAGTTGTAATAGTGGTAATGCATACTGGATTACAGCCCCCTAAATCAGGGTTGTAATACAATGTGGGTGGCTGGACATCATATAATATAGTGAATGAATGACAGGAGGCAGTGCTGGTTGTTGTTGGTGGTTTAAGACAATCAAGCCTTTAATTCATAGTTTTCTGTATTCAACAAATGGTTAACTGAAGAGTGGCACCAGCAGGGTGACAAAAGAATTCAAACGGTCTTGAACTCAAAAGCATAAACTGAGACGATTGGCGTTGCACAATCAGCTCACTTTCAGTCTCGATTGACAGAAAGCGACGAGCTCTACTGACTGAAGCCTCCCTGCTTGCTCGCCAGTTTTCCGATCAGCTGCCAGAACTCGGAGAAAGTCAGCTCCCCGTCGTTGTTTTCATCCAGTGAGCCCATGAGCTGGTCGATGACAGCGGGATCACTGGCATTCTGCAGAGGGTGATCACAAAGAACAGTTCAGGATCAATACAATATAATGATCTCAGATGCAGTATCATCTACTTTGAAACACTGTCCTGCCACCTAATGGTTGAATGAAGTAACAAAAACACCCGAAAAGCATTTGTAGGCACACTCACAACGTTTCTTGATCATGGGGAAAACAGCTATGAAAAGAGCTCAAGCCCTGTAAGTTACTATGGCCATTGGGCTATAAAACACATTAAATTACTACATTATACATGCAGCAGAAGTGTTTTTCTTGATATTGTACAGTTTATAATTAATTTCATTCCACTTTCACACCGATACAATCCCAAATTACAAGATTACACTCCTTACAAGAATCAGCTGACCACGGTTTGATCAATTAATAATTTTGTTATAATCAAATAAATGTATTGACAATTTTTCAATTCCACTGTAAATACAAAATCAGACATTACCTTATGATGCAGATGGTGATTTTGTATAAAATGTTATTATCAGAATCAGAATCAGAGAAACACATTAAGTGAAGTTAAAAAAAAAGAATTATGTCACATGATGTACAGTCACACGTTGCATGTAGAATTAAAATGCACAGTATTAGAATTTGATAGCAAAATTATAGTAATATATGTTACACACACAAGTGTTGAATTTTTACATGCAAAGTGTGTATCGTGTTGTATAGAGTACACGTGATACAACATGATGAGGGAGGATTTTTCTGATTGGCTGCCAAGGGCGTAATCTTAATATTTGTCCACAGTGCTCAGCATCTTTAAAAATGTCTGGTGCCAAAAACTGATTTGCTACTTAAATAACAGTGGAGATACAGCCCTACCAGTGGAACAACAAAGAGCGACACGGCTCCAAACGCTGGGGTGGTTGTGGTGGTTCAGGAGGTAGCGCGGGTCGTCTACCAATCGGAGCGTTGATGGTTCAATCTCTGGTTACTCCAGCTTGCATGTCGAAGTATCCTTCGGTAATATGTTAACCTCAATGCGTGCAGTGTGAATGTGTGTGCATGTGTGAATGTCATACAAGGTGCTTAAGTATAGAAAGGTGCATGTATGTTTGGGTGAATGCTCAGAGTAGAAAAAAATGTGCATTTGCCAAACAGATCAATGCCACAGTTTCTTTAATATCTGTGTGTAGGCTGCTCAGGGACACAAATAACAAGGAAAAGAGGAAGAACAACTTAAGAGTCGCACCTTGACATAGTTGGGCAGCTGAGAAGCCACCAGGTGTTGGAACTCATCCTTACTCAGGGTGCTGGAGGATCCGTCTTTCCCAGCATATGTCTTGAACTGGGTGACAAGGGTTGAGATAGCAGCTTCCATGATGACCTGCGAAATAAACAAGTAGAGTGAATGTATTTCTCACACAAGAGCTTAAAAAAAGAAATGCAGTAGGAAAGAAAAAAGCATCCGTCTTACTTTCTGTGTCTGCAGTGCGGTGTGTCGCAATAAGTACCGAGAACCTTGTCCCTTGACTGTGACCATCACCTCTCCAAATATATACGCTTCATCTTCACGACTGATGCAAACATCAGCGGAAAACATTAAACCGTTCCCACTTCTCCCCCAGCCTGCCCTTATCTGCCTGATTCCACTTCTCTGGAGACAGATGTCAAAACAAAGCGCGCACACACACACACACACACACACACACACACACACACACACACACACACACACAGAGAACAGCCATTCTGCCCTACAAAGGGCAAAACTGTACTAACGATAGCACAAAACCCATTTCAGTTTGCAGAGCAAGGCATTTAGTGGTAGCATCAGGCCATTCTTATCAAGTGACCGAATCATGCATACCTAAGCAGTAATTAGTTTATACAAAACATGACTCAAATAATATGGTACAAACACACAGTGTCATGTGCGAGCCTTTCCAACTGCACTAAGCTGATTAAACTTCTGAAAAAAGATTAAAACAGCATTTAAACTTTAGACATTTTATCTTTTTCCCCCTCAGCATTTTACTTGTCTTTCACTTCCTCAGGATTGTCTCAATGTTTTATAGCTGAAAATCGGTCTGCGCTTTAATGACCCTTCCAGTCATCCTTTTCATTTAAATGAGATCACGTCTCCACGATGGACATGTAAAGAGGACCCAACTCGGAAGGAAGCACAAATGTACTGAAACATTTCTATAATGACTGGTATGTAGAATTTAAAGAATGGTAAGCTTTCACTGTGCGTGTCAGGTCTGCGACTGTCGTATCAGCGTGAGCAAAGTGCGTTCGTGCCTGTGAACGTGTAGCTGTTGAGTATTTTTTCTGGGTGTAAATGTTTCAGTTTGCAATCACAGCTGTGATGATAGATGCCTGTCGTGCCAACACTTTCACTTCACACTCAGAATGAGTCAGATATCGTGCACACACGGCATCTAAAGACTTCCAGTAAGCTGCGTATCTGGCGTTACGTTTTTCGGTACAATTTCAAAAATGCTCACAGGTCACACTGATACTGATACTTATCACTGTGACAAATACTAGGGATATAGGCAGCAATAGTTGTACACCGTATAGACATAAGCACTGTGCCACCAACAGGAGCTGTTCACCCATGGAAACCCATGCAGTGAAACTGCTGCCACACAGTTTTTGTGCTCATGCTAACGCCAGAGGATGTTGTAACTTTATGCAGAGTGCCACTTTGTGGATGAGTTACTGTTGTACCTAAACACTTCCAATAAGCAAAGTTCATGTCCGTAAATATGTCCCTTATTTACGACACATACTTCATTTGGTATATCAGATGCCCTTCCTGACACCCAAGGGATTTGCTTCTCCTCTCAGGGTTGAACTGGGGACCTTTGACTTGTTAGGTGAAGAAGTGTAAACCACTAGGGCCACATGCTCCTAAACACCTCCACCTTGCAGTAATGCCATTTACAGTTGCTTGTGGAATATGTACAGGAGTATCGTATAAAAAGAAAAACGTGTGAATATTTTGAAACAATAGAAATGATTAAATAAAGACATTGTTTACGTATCAAGGGTGAAAGATTTATTGAACTTAATATTGATCTTGAAAATGAGGACATAACTGTTGATTGGGGGAATAACTAGAAATTGTCCAGTGATCAATTACATGCATGTTTGAGTCAGGTCCTACATTATCGGTAAGCACAGAGCTTTACTGTTGTCCCACAAACACAAAAATAGTCCTCAAATATTCATTAAACTCTGCTTCATTAAAAGATTCATCCATTGTGATTAGCGTTCGTCTGAATCCTTTGGTCTGGACACCTTCAAAAAGACAAAACATACTTCTCCAAAACTTAACATCAGCTCAATCTTTTATGTGTAAACTCTACGACATTCATTCAAACAGCAGTAAATTTACAAGTCGCGTAAACTTGCTTTTCTTACTAATCTTTGCAGAAGCTGATAAAATCAACTACCTTTCGTCTAATCAAAAGGATTTGTAATATAATAAAAGGCACATAAGCAGGAGCTGGCAAGCTAAATTAATGAAAATGTCACCATTTTCACATTCAAAGCATACAGCCCGGGATAAAATCTGTGGTTCTTCTCATTAAAAATAAGAAAAAGAGATGCACTGTAGTGAGACAATAAATAAACATGAAATCACTGCTGAGAGAAAACAATCACAATCTGTTCAACTTCACATCCACAAATAGAGGGAAAAGTCAAATTTCACTACAATCAAAACACAAATAAAACAACTATTTTTTCACAATTTTAAAGTAATTCTGAAATATATTTTGGACTTTGCTTTGTGCTGGTTCACCTACCTACACTAAAATAAAATTAAAAATAACATGTTTTTTTTTTCGTGCTTATTTATATCACCTAAAAACCACAAAGCTATGTCTAGGTCACTGTCACGCATGCCACTTCAAATCTATGCGTGAGAAAAAAGGAAAAAAAAAAAAATATATATATATATATGTTTGTTTTGTTGCCAATTTCATTTTGGCAAATTAACAGATTAAGTAAATGAAACTATTTCAGCTCACTAACCTCTCTAATTGTACTCCCCATATGGAAAAGAAATAGTAAAAACTTACATAATTTACTCATGAAAGTGGCCACTTTCTCATTACTTTCATATATTGTTTTAGTAAGTATCCAAAACATACAAGTTTCATTATATAATTTTTCAAGGGATCTTATATCTGTTTTCACTCTTGTATGCTTTTCATACAAGTTTCACACAAGACAGATACAAACTTTATAAGATTTATATATATCTTTTCCATATGGCTCAGATTGTGGGATACTGAGTAAGAGTAGCGGTGTTAGCAGTCTCCATGGATACACTACCAAACAAACAAACAAACAAACAAAAAAAAACCTGTCCTAACCCCCCCCCCCAAAAAAAAATGCCTATTTAAAATAAATCTAATTGGAAAAAGAAAATTTAAAAAAAGACGGTTCTCATATGTTTGAGAAAAGTGCTAAAGTGATTTAGCAATGTTCAACTTAACTATGGCTATTGCTTTTTTTTTTTCTTGAGCAGCACAAACTGGTTCCTGGTTGTTCCACACGTCTGCCGTCGGCCAAGAGGATGGAAAAGTTCTTCAAATCTAGAAATCAGGCCCTCTCAGGCAGTCCTCTGTGTGTGTTTGGCCAAATAAAGCGCTGCTGACAGAAAACTGGTCCGACCTGATCTGATTGTTATCACTGAAAGGACCGCGATCTCATCCTCTGGGATTGGACAGTCACACCCGAGCAGGGATAAATGCTATCTGCAAAAACATTCTAGTATTTTTTTAACCTGCTTGGAGTAGAGATTAGTCAGGCTCCCATACAAGATAAAATGACATAAATAACCCCCCCCCCTTTTTTTCTATTCACAACTTATATAACGGTATATAAATTGTGCTGATGGTTATTTGCAAATACCATCTTTTGTGATCTGTGTGATCAATTTAAACTGACATTATAATGAACTGTAACATGCACTACACGTGTGTAAATCACTAAACAGCAGAGGAAATTCACACGACACATTACTGAAGGACTTTGCTTTAGGAGGCATGACTCGACAGAGGTAGGTAACAACGACTAAGTCCAAGATGACAAATACAAGTCTAGCTTATAATTACAGACTCAGAGAGACATGTTTATGAGAGGCACAACCACTCTGTGCCAGAAGCTACTACTATTACAGCTCCGAAGGCAAGAAATGTCCTATAAAACCACCACTGGTTTCCTCTCTGCAGCCGTTTTTTTAAGCCGTGGCAGCAAACTTCCACAGGGCTTCTCGCTCAAACTCCTCCATCTCCTCCTCCAGGGAGTCGTCGTCCTTCTTCCCGTCGCCCTCTAAAACATCCACCATGTCTTCCAAAATGTCTGCCACGTCCTCAGCAAAGTCGCTGAAACGAATCCTGTCGTGGATGAACACGCCGTCCTCAAAGTAGTCTGCGGTCAGCCTCCTGAACCTATCCTTGCTCTCTGATGATGACCTTTCAAGCTTGCTCAGGTAGCCCTCCAGAAGTTCCTCAAACTCTGACAGCTCCACTGGATAGAGCCCCTCCTTGCTGGCACAGTCCTCCACGGAAGTACAGCCCAGCTGGGGACGGACATTGCGTTGGAGCTTTTGCTCCTGGTCTCTCCAGAAATCGTTGTTGTGGTGCTGATGAGGATGGCGGGGCTGCTGATGGTGATGTTGGTGCTGGTGGTTTTTAGCAGACCGGCTGTGCCACGGTTTCTCCTTCCTCCTCTCCTCTCTGTCCATTCTCCTCTCACCCTTCTTGCTCTCCCACTCGTCCTGGTGTTTCCTCCAAGCCTCTTTATGAGAGTTTTGCTTTTGAGGCTTCCAGTCTTTCTCATTCTTCTCCTCTTTGTCTCTCCATCCTTCCTCTTTGCTGTCTTTCCACTGTTTTTCTCCTCTTTGCTCCCTCTCATCTTTATGCCTCCAGTCTTCCTCCTTCTTGTCTTTCCACTCTTTTTTTCCTCGTCCCCCCCTCTCGTCTTTGTGCCTCCATTCGCCCTCCTTATCTTTCCACTCTTTTTCCACCTTTCTCTGCTTCTTCTCTTCTTTATCCCTCCATTCTCCCTCGTTGTTGTGCTTCCACCCTTTCTCTCCTCCCCTCTCCTCTTTCTTGTAGTGGTCCCGCTCACTGTGTTTGCCTTTGTTCCCTTTCCATTTGGACTCCTGGGGCTTCTTCTTCCCCCACATCTCAACTTCTTTGGAGAGTTTCCTTTGGATCTCCTCCAAGTGATCCCTGACCTGTTTTCTCTTGCCTCCATCTTTTTTCATTGCGTCCAGCCTTTTCTTGCTCTCCTCCAAAAGAACCTTCTGCCGATGGAGTTCTTCCTTCAGCCTTCCTCCCTGCTTTGCGTCCCTCCCCCTCTCTGGTCCAGGTGTTTTCTGGTTACTTTGACCATCTTTGTCTTCAGGCTGTGGGGCCGAACTAGATGCAGCTGGAAGTATTTCCTGATCAGCTGTGAAGGATTTAATATATCAAACTTAAAATGACCTTGGTCGTTACCAGCGTGTCTCTATGCATGCAGGATACGTTCAATAAGTATAAACTTAAAGGACGATGTAGTCGCCACATTATACCTGCGAGCTGGCTGAGTTCAGTCACTCTGGCTCTGAGAGTCTCGAGCTCTTTCTTCAGCTCTGGCAGAGATGACAGCTCCTCCTTCAGCTTTGCATTTTCTTTTTCCAGATCTGCTTCACCCTTTTTATCGCCACTTGCTGCTAACGCCTTCAGTGCTGAGTCAAGTTCTTCTTTCTTAGACTGAAAAATATGGTCAAATAGTAACAGTTTATAACGTGGACAAAGCTGTAGGTAAATTAAGGTGCTGCGCAAGTTGTTTAACAATTAAAAACATTCATTGAAACATCATAAAACCCATTAAAACTAAATAATTAGCATCAGTGTGACTCCATACTGACCTGAAGTTGTGCCTCTAGCTGAATGATTTGTTGGTTTTCCTGTGTCAGTTTATCCAATAGCTCTTTCATATCCTGTGGATCACTGCTAAGCCCGTCCTGGATTTAAAATCATTGGCACATGAATAGAACACATATTTTTTTAAAATGTCTATTTCTTTATGTTTGTTTTTAAAATTTTCATATCACATGATCATGTGAAGTAGGAATCTGTGGAAACAGACCTGGCTTTGTTCTGCGTCACTCAGATCGGAGGCATCAAAGTCACCTGTCAGACAGGAAAACAACGTTTTAGAACGAGTCCTTCCACAGGCACTTTCACTGACACACAACTGCCATGCTGCCTTTCAAGATGCTCAAGTGAACTTTATGAGCTCAGGCCACTCACTGCACGCCACACCAACTGTTTTTCTTTTCCATTTCATTAATAAATTTTGCCTTCAACACAGTGTGACTGCATTAGACACCTTCCCATTTAATTTAAACCCCAGAAAACATTCAGTGAGTCCTTCAAAAATATTATAAGGAGCGTTAAAATTCAGAATGCATGTTATTTGCCTTTTTCTGCTGCTGCAGCATCAACTGTCAGCCCAGATAAGTGCTTGGGCAAGCTATTGAGCATTAGCCAGTGAGCGCAGAAGCTTACACTGCTGCCTTATCTTTAGCTCTGGACCTACCATTATCCAGGTCACTGTGGAAGCCTGTTGACATAGTAGAGCTTAGTCAACAAGATCTGAAAGCAGACATCTAACTATTGCTGACAACAGCAAATAAAGGTGCTTATGTAACTTGTAAATACTGTCATTGTCAAACAGAAACTGTGAAATGATGGAAATTTATGGCAATATTTACTCTAAACTCTTAATGCTGCCTAACACTGCCAAACTCTGATGCTGCGTAGGAAGATCACAGTTTATTTTCTGACATTTTAACATACAGTGCTGTGCTAAAGTCTTGAGCCAACCCCTCTTTTCTTTATGTTTTGATGGGACACAAACATATACCAAAACACGGCATATGAGACAAAAACAGAGCTTGTACAATTCCAAAAAGTCTGAAAGTTGTTTTTTGAAGATTCATGTAAAGAAATGGGAAAAAAATTATCTGCTTTTTGCATCAGGCTGCTCATAAAAACCGTTGTTTTCTTTTCGGTTGTGTGCAGACAAAACACTGGTTCGTCCGTTTATGCTTGAATGATTCATAGGCCAGAGGACTGAAAATAGTCAGGAAAACCTGAGAACTATTGCTCAAAAGCACTTTAAAGCAAAGTTTAAAGATACAGTGTGGCTCAAGATTTTTGCACAGTTCTATAAATATTATAATTTATGGTATTAAAGCATTCACTCTTACTGTTAATGTGCAGCATACAAATTGTAGCCACAATACTGCACTAAATCAAACAATAAAAGCAGAACCAAGCTAGCTACCTTAGTTATGAGAGGAACTGACCTGAGAGAAAGAGGGAACCTAGAAATAGCAAGACCAGAGCACCCACAATGCATTTGTTCAAGGAGAACCATGGCTTTTCCTCCTTCTTCTCAGCCAGCTTGAATTCTACTTCCTCTTCCTCATCCTCCTCGTCTGATGTTCTTGGTCTCTGTGCCTCAAAGGTGGGCACATTTCTCCGCCGCAGCCCATCATCAAAGCTGCCAGCGTCACCCGAGTCATACCTAATGGAAGGCTCTAAGAAAGGAAAAATGTAAGAAGGAAATAAGAAGAAATTCTAAGCATGAGAAAGAAATGGCAAGACAGCAAAGATCTGTCACGTTTTCTGTTGTATTTTTGTGACAGATGATGATAATGTGCCTAAACCTAAACCACATGTATTCAACAAATCATCTCAACATCTGTGGCATTTTTGTCAGAAGTGAATAATTATGTGCTGGCGACTTCCTCACGCAGAATACCAGACTCTAAGTGAGCAAATGAGCTGCAAAACACAACAGCGTGTAAACAGCATGTGAAAAGTGTCTGACAAAAAAAGCGACTGCTGGTTCTCAGAATGGATGACATTTTCTCACTAAATTACAACAACAGTAATTTCATGCATGGGGGTTTCATCATTTTCTCAGCGGGGTGTGGGCTCTCCTGTCATACTGATAAATCGCTTTCCAGCTGCTAGCGAGACATAGATAAGAAACATGTTAACAAATTCTCTCATTTTTCTGCTTTTATCAACTTGTTCCTATTATAAAGCACCACTTACTTTCCTCAAAAGCTGCAGAGGCAGCTTGGAAAACCTGCTAAGAGCCTCAGAGCCTGGGACCCAGATGCAAATATTTAAAGGCAGGATGCTCGCTGTATGTCACTTTACAAATAAGATCAGCTGTAATATTGTTACACACAGGTACAACGTTGACTTAAAATGTCATCTTATCTTGGGATTGAGAATAAAAAAGGGTTACTGTGTCAAAATCAAGCTTTAAGACATCCATTATTAAAAGACATTTTACAGTTGTTTGGGTTTAAGATTAACTGACAACAAAGAAAGGGAGGTTCACATACTGAACTGTGCAAAAGTCCTGATTTAATAGACATAAAACAGAAAATTTTGCACTAACAAGACAATTCCTAAAGAGCTATTAGCTGAAAACTTATAAGCATAGTGTGCAGTGTATCCTTAAAAGAAACTAAAAGTGGATGAGGGGAGGACAAATGAAGAAAAAAAAAGTATCTACAGTAGAGGAAGAAACAGATAAAGCCCTGACACAGGACCTCAGTTGATCCATCTACTGTTCACTAAAGTCTCAACAGAAGTAGTCTTAGCGGAAGGATGGCTGTCAAGAAACCATTCTTAATGAAGAAAAAAGAGAAAAGCCAGAATTATGCCAAATTACACAAGACCTGGACTGAAAAATCACTGGCAACAGTTCTTTTGTAGTGATGAATCCACATTTCTATTTCAAATTGTCACCAATATGTACAGAGGAGGTTAGGAGAGAGGTGCAACAGTGAGTGTCTATTCAAGTCAATTTAATTTTATTTATACAGCGCCAACTCACAACTACAGTTGCCTTGAGACTCTACAATAATACATACAGAGAAAAACCCAACAGTCATATGACCCCCTATGAGCAAGCACTTTGGCGACAGTGGGAAGGAAAAGCTCCCTTTTAACAGGAAGAAACTTCGACAGAACCAGGCTCAGGGAGGGGCGGGGCCATCTGCCGCGACCGGTTGGGTGAGAGAAGGAAGACAGGATAAAAGACATGCTGTGGAAGAGAGACAGAAAGCCACCATATTTTACAGATGGCTGTAAAACATGGTGGAGGCTTTGTGATGGGGCCTCATTTTGGCCAGTAGTGTTGGTAATCTTGTAAAATCGGATGAAATTCTGAACACAGTAAAGATTTTAATTCACCTGCAGTATTCATCTGGAAAATGTCTAATTTGAAACAACTTAATTTTAATCATGACAATTATCTCAAACACGCTACCAGTGAAGTAAACGCATACCTGGATAGAAAAACACAGTGAAACACTATCAGCCATGGATTGGCCTCCCCAGAGCCCGGACCTCACCATTAATGAAGCAGTGTGGGAGAACAGAACAAAAGGCAGCCTACATCCAAAGAAGAGCTTTGAATGTCCTTGCGGAGATACTATTCCTGAAGACCACTTAAAGAAGAACGCTTGCCAAAGAGAGGCTATGGTGAAGATGATGGTCATACCATATACTGACCTTTAGCCTCATTAGCATGTTGTATTTTCATTTAATGTTAGTGCATATTTTGAAAATCACTGCACTTATTTCTTATTTTTCTAGTAGAATATAAAGAAATGAAGACTTTTGCACAGTAATGTATATTTCTCACTGCACACAGAAAGAGGAGACAGACGTTCACAAGACTCCAACAACAAATTTTTGCCCTGACTTCAGCCTCTGGTGTACATTTCCCACAGTGGATAAGAAGACCGGTTCCCCAGAAATGAGAAACTTGTGTTGTTTAATTACATTTTCTTATTGCGCTAGTTTTCTTTTTTTCTGTTACATCTCTAATTTTATTAATCTTTTGTCCTGCTTGTTGAAAAAAAGATATCTCAACTCTCATCTAAAAGAAGATTTTAAATTTAAGTTTTAGAAAATAAATTTTGCAGGACTGAAAGAATACATCATAGCAGGATCTTCCACACTCTTTGATTTAACTCTTAAAATGAGGTTGCGTGCTTGAAGCTATTTGCATACCATGGCTTTACTGTGGATTTCCAATAACACTGTTTTTGCCATCACTAATAATCTCATGTGAAGATTATTTTGAAAGAATCTATTTCTACTGAGAAAAAAAAAAAAAAAATCAAAGAAAAGTAGAATACACAGCCGTGTGTGCCTGGCTGGATTTGGGAATACTGTGCGAGTGCCTTTACATTTACTGAAACGCTTATGTAGGATAATCAAATACCTTCTTCATCGTCTCTCTCATCTTGTCTCACTGGCTCCGATGGCTTTGCAGGCTCATTTTTAACAGCCGCCTCCTCATCTGCCTCAGCTGAACCAACAGTCTCTGGTGCAGGACTTTCATCAGTAGGATGTTCTGTCACCAGGCTCTCGGGGACTGGGCTTTGTGACTCTGTGCTGTCTGGAACAAAGCTGATATCAGCTTCAACATGAGACAGGGGATCCGTGGCTGTAAGGGTCTCGGTGGGGATGTTAACCTCGGGTCCAGCACTGAAGACTTGACTCTCCCCAGGAGGACTCGCAGGAATCAGTCCAACATCAACAGGCTTCTGGAGCTCATGCTCCGCAGAGATGGGGATCTCAATAATCAGAGGTGCAGAGCAGGACTCCTCGGACTCGAATGGGGGGACTTCAACAGTTGGAATATCCAGTGGAGCCCCCATGTCAATGTTGGTGACAAATGGCATGGCACCTAGGTGCTCATTGTCACTGGGAGAACTGGTTACAATGTCATGGATAACTGGAGGCTGACTCTCCAAATACGGATCTGGTGGGTCAAGAAGGCTGGGTGGGAGAGGGCTCATACGGGATGGACTAGAAGGGACAGGACCCTCACTGGACTCTGGAGAGGTCTCTTGACACACCTGATGACAAGGACAAAAGTGTAACTGACATTTTAATTAACCTTCAAATAACAGAGTGGTGGTTAAACTGTTAAATACTTCAGTGTTGACTGTTCCTGCACAAGATATTTTAAACACGTCTACTAATGAGATGTTTGTTTAGAAATGTCATGAATGAATGAAAAAACACCCTGACTACGAGGACTTCATTTGTTGCTCAAAGTGTTAACGAGTAACACTCACGTGCAAGAATCGAGAAAGTAATTCTCTGTGTACAATTTATTAAACTTCTTATTGCATAACAATGATCACTAATATAACTTGCTGGCTGTTATTTTCTCTTTTATTTTTTGATAAAGTGCAGCGACTTTTACATGTTATTGAGGTTATTTCCCTGCAAACAGTATCGTTTACAGTATTTCTCTTTCATTAAGTGATGCTGCCCAGGATTACTTTGACAATTTTAATAACCCTTTAATTGATATTGAATGAGCATGACAGTAAGACTGAAGCAGTTGTAACTTTTTTTTAAGTTTACTTAAAGACAACACAATGTCTACTGTTATGTTTTCTCCTTTCAGTGTCTTGATGCAGGCAGGGATGCAAAGTCATTATTAAAGGTCATTTTTCTGTGAGAATTTTGAGATTACAAACTGTACTCCCCAAGGTTGTGCTATTAGTCCTATTATGTTTAACAGAATGATACATTAAATTGTAGAAATGTTGGTAGAAATAGTGAGCAATAGTTTTATGTTGATGAAGAGAGATGAATCATTACTCGTATTCTATTTACAGGTTTTAAAATCAAAATGTTAAATTTTTATTTATTCATTTTTCAGGCATCTGTAAAGTTCAGAAAAGAGCTTCAAGGGTTACTCCTTACAGGCTTTTAAGGGGGTAAACATTTAAGATAGAAAGGTGGTCATATGACTGTGGTTTTAAAATATGAGTGATGAAGTCATGCTATGTGTTCTTTACCAGGAAGAGAAGGTTAGATAATGCAGCTTAAGTTTTAATGTCATACTGTACAAAGTAATCACTTCTAGATGTCTTCGGGCCTTCTTAATACATTAAACTCCTACTAATGTGCTGCTGGTGCAAGTTGATGAACGTTCATTTACATGTAAGTCTATCAAAGCTGTCAGCTGCATATTGGGTAGATGCTGTGTGATTGTTGAGAGCATTCAAAGCAACAGAAAGGTTGAGGAGTTAAGCTGTTGTTTATATAGAGTATGGGCCAAATTCTGTGTGTGGACTTATATTTGCCCATGGATATTTTGGTGCCCACTATAGACTGAAGTGAAAGAGAAAATTCACTGGTAGAAATATGAATAACACTGGATGTTTATTTTTATTTTTACGGTGTAAACAGGAATTATTATAACCATCTGTTCCTTCAATTTGTTGTGCTAATCAGATTTGTAGTGAAAGGATATTACCGGTAACGCCAGTAGTTACTACTGGATTTCGGGTGGCAGTGTATGTGTATGAATTAGGTGCAGTCATATGAAAAAGACTACAGACAGACTAACTGTACTTACAGCAGAAACAGGTGCTACAGTTGTAGACCTGCTATATCAGAAGACCTGATTTATGAGTTATTGAGACTGTGTACCAGCAGTCCTTGGTAGTTTAAAGTCAAAAGAAACAATCAGAGGTAAATATTTGAAGGAAATACTTACAAAAATAGTCAGAATACATGGAGTAGGCATGAGTGTAAAGTCCTGCTGGACTTATGCTCATGTTAGCGTGGAGGGCAATGGGAACGCAGACAAAATTGCAAAGTAAGAGTTGAAATTAGAGGCTAACATAATGAAAAGCTCTATTTGGAAATAGGGAGGCATAGCTTAAGCTTTTTTTTAAATATAATTCAGAGATCTTGCATAAAGCTTTATGAGACGAAGCTCTATTTCTCTTAAACGGTGGATCGGAAGATAAGATACAGATAAAAAGATTTGAAAAATTCCTAAGGTTTAAGCTTGAAACCTGTTAGGTGAAATGTGACCATGTTATGAGAAGAAAGGCATGATATTTATTTATAGAGAGCTTGGGGTTTTAAATCATAGATCACTTCCAAAGACCTCCTCACACAAACAACTTGAATCCAGGAAGCGCTCCTACTTAAAATATTTTTGCAGATGTGTCCCCCCCCCCTTAAATCTATCCTGATGTGCAAAAATACCCTGAGGTTACACACTGTGGTAAAGTAGGTGGAGCTGCACCTTCTGAGCAGCTATGAAACTCAGAAAAGAAGATGATATTCTGGCTCTCAGCTATGATCTGTCAAGCAGCAATACATTTGGCACAGTTGGTAAGTCTAAATATGATGTGATTGAATTTTTGTCTTCTTAATGAACTCCTGCGTAGTTACTAACCTGGTGGCCTTCTTCAGATAGTACAGTTTCTATGGGGATACCAACGGGTTTGAACTCCACAGCAGCTCCTGAAATAACACCGACACAATGCAAAAACAAAGATGTAGAACCCAAGAAAAGGTCAAAGCTTTAGACACCAGGCAGATATGTTGACTTGTCAGTACCTGCCACCTCCTCTGAGAGACTGGGGACATCCCCCAGGCTCTCTGTGCCATCATCCACGGGCCCGACATTCTCAATGGCAGCTTCCTGTTGAGTGAGAAGACCTAATGAGAACCAGCTGGTAAAAATTTACACCTGTAGCCATAAACTTGACATTTAGAGTAGCATTCACACTCACCAATGATTACAACTGGCACTGCTTACCAATTAATTATGGAGTCAGATTTTCCTGTAATGATCTTGAAATATTTGATCACAAAAGCTACAAATCACAGTCAAACTACTGTCTGATGAGCTTTTACACATTCTCCAATCCAAACTGACAAAATAATATCCATGCAGCTGTCATTGGTTTTTCTATCCTAACAAACGAGGCTGGGTAAAATATTAGTAACACCTCTCAGCGTAACACGTAACTCAGCGTAAGGGACTGATAAGGAATGGGAAGGACAGCTACAGGCAGAAGATGGAGAACCAGCTTCAGCAAAACAACGTTGGTGAAGTCTGGAGAGGCCTCAGAACCATCTCAGGCCACAAACAGCAGAACTCTCTGCCTGGGAGGGATGTGAGGTGGGCAAATGAACTGAATCATTTCTTCAACAGATTTGATTCAACCATGAGACAGTCTACAACATCGGCTGCAGACTCACCCACCCCCACTGCTGCTGTTCCACCTCTGACACCTCAGACACTTCACACCTCCTCTATTCACCCTGCTCACTCCCCCCACCCCCAACAACAGCATCCAATACACACTCAACACAAGGCTCCAGCCTGTCTCTCTCAACCACCCAGGTTAGGAGGGAACTGAGGAGGATTAATGGCAAGAAGGCAGCGGGCCCAGATGGCATCAGTTCGAGGGTCGTCAGGTCCTGCGCGGACCAACTGTGTGGGGTGATGGAGCACCTCTTCAACCTGAGCCTGAGGTTGGGAAGAGTCCCACAGCTCTGGAAAACCTCCTGTGTTGTACCAGTGCCAAAGACTTCACGCCCCAAGGACCTCAACAGCTACAGGCCGGTGGCTCTGACATCCCACCTGATGAAGACCCTGGAGCGGTTGGTCCTGGCTCAGCTTCGGCGCCTAACAAGCTCATCACTGGACCCACTTCAGTTTGCCTACCAGCCTGGCATTGGCGCGGATGATGCCGTCATTCACCTCCTACATCGTTCCCTCGCTCACCTGGAGACCGCTGGAAGCACTGTGAGAATCATGTTCTTTGATTTCTCCAGTGCCTTCAACACTATTCTTCCCTCGGTTCTGAAGGACAAGCTGGTGAACTCTGGAGTGGACCATCACCTCACTACCTGGATCCTGGACTACCTCACCGACCGACCACAGTATGTGAGGACTCAGGGCTGTGTGTCGGACAGGGTCGTCTGCAGTACGGGGGCCCCACAGGGAACGGTTCTGGCTCCGTTCCTCTTCACCATCTACACTGCAGACTTCTCCCACAATTCCACCCAGTGCTTCCTGCAAAAGTTCTCTGATGACTCTGCAATAGTCGGCCTCATCACTGATGGGGACGACAAGGAGTACAGAGGACTGACTCAAGACTTTGTGGACTGGTGCCAGCTGAACTACCTCCAGATCAACGCCAGTAAAACCAAGGAACTGGTGGTAGACTTCCGCAGGCACAAGCATTCTCCACTGCAACCACTGAACATCCAGGGTATGGACATTGAGGCTGTGGACAGCTACAGGTACCTTGGTGTTCATCTGAACAACAGACTGGACTGGACTCATAACTCAGACGCCCTCTACAGGAAAGGGCAGAGCAGGCTGTACCTGCTGCGGAGACTCAGGTCGTTTGGGGTGGAGGGCCCACTCCTGAAGACCTTCTATGACTCTGTGGTGGCTTCTGCTATCTTTTATGGTGTGGTCTGCTGGGGCGGCAGCATCTCTGCTGGGGACAGGAAGAGACTGAACAGGGTGATCCGAAGGGCCAGCTCTGTTCTAGGATGCCCTCTGGACCCAGTGGAGGTGGTGAGTGACAGGAGAATGGCGGCTAAGCTGTCATCCCTGTTGGACAACGTCTCCCACCCCATGCAGCAGACTGTGACAGCACTGAGCAGCTCCTTCAGTGGGAGACTGCGGCACCCACGGTGTGGGACGGAGAGATTTCGCAGGTCTTTCCTCCCCACTGCTGTCAGACTCCATAATAAAGACTTTAACTGATCAAGCACACACATCCATACATATGCAATAATACTAAGTGCAATAATCTTTTCTGGCATCGTTGTATTTTTACTCAGTTGTATATAGCATTCGTATTCTATTTTTATCTTATTGTATATTTTTATTCTATTTTATTCTACTGTATATAGTATATTATTTTATTCTATTCTGTACAGCTGTGTACTGTATTTATTCTTATTGTATTCTAATTTTTGCGTCATAACTTTTGCACTGTCCACTTCCTGCTGTGACAAAACAAATTTCCCACGTGTGGGACTAATAAAGGTTATCTTATCTTATCTTATCTTAACACAAGGTTTTCCTAAAACCACAGCAGCCTTACTACAGGCCAAGTCATGCTTGCATACTGAGCTAATACACACACAAAAAAACAACTGTGAAGTTGAGTACTGTATGGGATACAAGTTGTTGATATAAAAGCTGAATTAAAAGCCAGTTATATATAGTTCTAGAAACAATTAAACAGTAATGACTTCAATAAAAAAAAATACATTTTACATTCAGTACTTCTGTTTTGCCACCTCTTACCTGCTGTTAAACCTCAGTGTGGTCACTGTGAGTGGGAAGCCCGTTTTTGATATTTAATATATTTAATGATTAACAGAAATTTGTGATTGAAACCACTGCAGCTTTTCTTTCATGACTCAAAAACCCTGATGCTGGATATCACACCGACTGACTGCAGTTGCCTCTCTGCCACTGAGAATGACAACGGTTCACAGCGAAGTGCAAGCACATGTGTGTCACTAAATCTGAGGTGCAACATACCAGAAAGACTCAGTTCAGTGTGACTACAATATTATCTTAGTTGGCACAGTGTATACTGGGATATTTGCTTGCTATAAATACCTTGTGCTGGTCAGATAGCCAAGTGGCATAGAAAGCTATTCCAGAGGGGTACATTACTGGATAAAGTATGAGAACTGCTAGAATAGTATAAATAAAGCATAGACAAAAGGCCAAAGTGAAATAAATCCTATTTTCATCTGAACTGTGGACATTATCTGCCTGATGAGGCACAATTTGGCGCTCTGCAAACATTCACCAGGATGTTTCCCACTTTAAGCAGCTCTGGGCTGCAGGTTAGGACAAGACAAATTATAAATGAACCAGTATTCATGGAGCAGGATAATAATCATGGTGCTCCAAATGATACCCAGACTTTCCTTAGCTATGCTCATCTCGTCTTACCTCCGGGGAGAGGAGGGTCCAGCTGTTGGTGGAGGAGCCTGTGCTGCCTGTGCTGTTGCTGCTGTCAGACATCGCCCCCGTCAGGCTTAACTTGGCACAGCACACGGGACAGATTGAGCTTTAAAAATCCTGCATATGACGACAAAAACAACGTGTCTTCAGCGAGCACGCCTAATGCACACATGTGAGCCTCATTATCAACATGCAATAACCCGACTACAACGTGTTCAGGTGCATAAGGCGCAGTTGAGAACATTAAAAAATATGCATAAAACTCGATGAGCCGTGTGTGATTTTATGCAGCATCCGCATGCAATTTTTTTTTAAACTACGGTAAAAGAGGCCAGAATCGCGCAGTTGTGGCACAGTTAAAACCTTGCAAACGGAAACGGGATAAAGAGCAGATTGTCGCTGATTCAAGTTATGTAACGGAGGCATCCATAATACACCGCTGCGCAGTGAAACAAAGGCTTCAGTCAGTGCAGAAAACAAGAATCTCCTGACTGCATTCATCGCTACTGCTATTTCCAGCCAGCCATTCATTCAAATCCATTCATCCAGTCAATCTGTGCAGCAGTTAAATGCCCAAAAATGGTCAAGCCCCCCCCCCCAAACTGTACGGGTACTTCATTGATCCAAGCATGCAAATAAAGGTCAATACTCACTTATCGGCAACGCTAGCGCGCGCTAAGGTTCTGATTTGCTCTTATAAGAGGTAAATGCTGGGCGGCTGTGGTTGTTGTAGCAACCAAATTCAAGGTTCACTCATGATGGTAAACAAAGGATGGTTGGCTGAATTTCCCACTCCCACTCTTCCGCGTTCTCACTCAGGCCCAGCTGTTAAGCAGGCTGCCCCCGACACGAGCTCGGCTCCATCACCGCAAACGCGAACAAGACGTTTATTTACCCCGCGTGCTCACACTTGAGTCGCTCGGCGTTTTCCACTTCAAAGGGCTTTGCTTTTGTTTTGTTTAGCACGAGCACAGCTCCTCTCCTCTGAACTTGGGAACTTCGGGAATTCCAAGTAGCGTCACGTCGACCAACGTGTCTCACATCCAATGGGATTTCACCAAAGCCGCGGGAGCACCCGCCCCCGAATCATGGCTGGACCAATCGGATAAAAGTGTCGCGTCAGGAAAGCGACGTGCATCCCAGCTTGATTGACGCACGCAGGTGAAAGTGGCAGGTGATGGTCCCGGCTCTTTCTCCTTGGTTTATAATAATACAAGTTCATGTGTGATCCCACAAGATACACACACATATACAGGAGCCACCAGTCGCTCACTGACACGTCTGCTGAACTATATTTGTACGGGACTTGCCAGAGTGGACAACCCCTTTCCCACCATTGCTCCAATGTGGGCATTCATTTCATCATCTGACCCCTTCTCCTCTAAAATTAGTAATTTAAGTGTTTTCTCTGGATAAGCACTTTCCTTCTTACACCTCTGTACTCCTAAATCAAACAACAACAATCACATAACTACATAACTGATTGTTGGGGAGAAATGGTAGCGTGTAAATATATATATATATATATATATATATATATATATATATATATATATATATATGTGTGTGTGTGTGTGTATGTGTGTGTGTGTGTGTGTGTGTGTAGTATGTTTACTCTGGTGGTCTATCCCCAGAGGTAAATGTACACATACAGTGGTGTAAAAAGGTATTTGCCCTCCTTCCTTCTTTTTTTTGTCACACCTACTTGTTTCAGATCATCAAAAATATATATATATATCAGAGAAAAATAACACTAGTAAATACAAAATGCTGTTTTTAAGGGGTGATTTCAAATATTAAGGCGAAAAGTTATCCAAACCTACCTGGCCCTGTGTGATAAAGGAATTGCATTAATAACCCGTTATTAGGTTTAGGGAGCAATTCTTTCTTTCACATAGGGCTAGGTTTGGATAGTTTTTTCCCCTTAATATCTGAAGTCATCATTTAAATGCTGCATTTTTTATTTGCTCATGTTATCTTTGTCTAATATTACAATTTAAACATGTAAGTGTGACAAATAAGAGGGAAAAGTCAGGAAATAGGGAAACACTTTTGCATAAAGATGGATATCTTAGATTTTATTTATATTGTGCATACTGTAATGCACATTAGCAACAAAAGTAATCCCAGGACTCTTACATTGTAATATAACAACCTCGCCTTACAATATTAAAGACAAAAAAACATTCATTTGTGCAAGCAAATGAGGACAGTGCATTGGGAGAGAAACCTTCATTACTAACAGGAAGAAATCTTGCACAGAACAAAGCTCAGGGAGGGTGGCCATCTGACAGTGGAGTGAGAAAAGAAGAGCACAAAGCCACTGCAAACAATATAACAATAAATACTCTGCAGGCTTGGGGGATAAGAGAACATTCAGCTCAGGAGAAAAACACAGAGAGGACAATGGACAAACTACGGGAAAGAGAGGGTACAAAGACAATAACATGATGGTGGCATATATTAATAACTGGAGAGTGAAAGAGAGAAAAACAGAGGATTGCTTAGTATAATGGGCAGCCAGCATAAATAAGGGGTGGCTCAGGGTCACATGATCTGTCCCTGATGTGAGCTTGATTAAAAAGGAAAGTTTTAAGCCCCTAAGTAGGAGGGACTTAAGCCCAAGAATCCTCACAGAAGTACTGCAGGCCAAGCTAAAGTGAGCTAGAAAAACTTGGTGAGACTGGGTGAGATTTCAGGGCAAAGGTCAGTTTAGAATTTATTTAGAAGTAAAAAATTAAGAGATTCTAGATACACATGTAGGGTGTTGAAAATGTCCATAGGTGCGGAAATGATAACATTAGACTATAAATTATAGGCTGGTTAACTAAAACTAATGTTACATACATGAATAATCTCTGAGGTCTTCCTCTTTCTGGCAGCTCCATATTCAGTAACTTTGCCCAATATATCCACTATCCCTCCTCTGAATATCTCCAAACCATCTCATCCTTCCCTCTCTAACCTTCATTCTCGATGCTATTCTTTCTTCACATATCAATCTTCTCCACCTACACGTTCTTCAGCTCTATTGTGCAAAGTCTATTGTTTTGGACGGTTGATCCCAAAGTATGTAAAAGTCATCCATCTTTACTACCTGCAGACCTCCACCTCTCCAGGCTCTCTTCCACATGCTCACAGTGTTATCTGTTTAATTATATAAAAAAATAAACTACTACTACTGCTACTACTACTACTACTACTAATAAAAAAAATACGGAAACTTGTATAATATAAACTCTTATAAAATAAAAACTAAGATACAATGAGAAAATGCATGGAAACGAACTGAAGTAAAACCGTTTGAAATGTTAAAAATTTAGAGCTAAAATAAGAAGAAACCTTGTTGACGTCACCTTTCTCTCAATTGAATAAAACAGTGTCAAAAACTATAATAGGCTTAAAACTTTCTCACGATATCACCGCTAAAAACGATTATAAGCTCAGTCTGGGACTGGTTATGTAATCACACCAAAGCATGTCAGGACAGAATTGTGGTCGAACTTTGGACTGAAATGGAATGTTTGTTTTTTTGTTTTTTGTTTTTTCCCCAGATTTTTCCACCCTGATGACGAATTAGGAAATCAAAGAAGTTACGTTAATGTCCTGCGACAGATAGAAGTAACCAATAGCAGACGAGTTTTTCGGTCGTATTGACCAATAGGACGAGGCGAGGTCTATTTGAACGGTGAAAAGCGGGCTCGCAGACATTCGAGAGGGAAACAAAGAGAGAGCAAACAAATCGTCGCTGTCGGATGCGAAATAACTGGAATAGTTGGCTTTTTTAAAAATCTCTGGGAAAGTTAATTAGAAAAAACAAAACAAAAGGTAAGTTCTTAAACTTAACTATTCGTATTGGGCATTGACAACAACACATACTTTGATTTTAAGACGATAAATACGCACATATGTTTTAAAGTCTCGTCGACCTAGCTTGAACGGATATAGCATAGCTACACTCATGTAGCCTTCTTTTAGCTTCTTTCCTTTTTCTCTAATTGTGACCGTTAATATTTAAAACACATTTCCCACAGGGTACCACCATGTCTCACAAACAGATCTACTACTCTGACAAATATGACGACGACAAATACGAGTACAGGTACGTAAGGCATGCTTTTACGACATGCAGTTACATTAAGGTTTATTAAGATGACTCTTTGAAGAAGATGGCTTCAGCTCATTACACGACACATCATGAGTATTTTTTAATGCCCAACGCAACTGCGTTGAGAATGTAATACTACCTTTTTTTCCCCCGCAGGCATGTAATGCTACCCAAAGAGCTTGCCAAGCGTGTTCCCAAAACCCATCTTATGTCGGAGACCGAGTGGAGAAACCTTGGTGTCCAACAGAGTCAAGGATGGGTGCATTACATGATTCACCAACCAGGTAATAACTGACAGCGTCATGATTTTAAATATTGGTTTGGTAATTTGTGCTTGCTGGTGGGTGTATGGTGGTGTAGCTTGTTGATCATATTGAACTGAAACTTGAGACAAGTTGTAATAGTTCATGGTGATCATTTTGCAGCAAAGGCCAACTCACAATTAGACTAAAACTGCAGCTGATCACTTTGACCACTATTGTTTTTCTCACTCTGTGACGTTACCTTTAACTAAAGCTCTGAGAATGACCAGGTGGCGTAGGTGACCAATCAGTAGTCTAAAACAAGGAATTTAATTTTACAGAAGAGAATAATTTAACATTTAAATAAACAAAGTAATTTAAAACTTAGGTTTCTGCAGTTGAGGTGATGCAGACTAGATGTCATTGCTACTGGATTTTGTGGCCCAAATTAAAAAAACAAACAAACAAACGGCTGGCACGCCCTATTTTTAATTAAGAGTTACAAGAGATGTGCTTGCCCCCCCAAGACTTAAATTGCTACTTTGCACAAGATAATGAAACTTTCTTGGTGTTCCTCCTCCAGAGCCACACATCTTGCTGTTCCGACGCCCTCTGCCCAACCCAAAATCATAAAGGAGATTCTCTGGGTCCTTCAGGGACATCAGTCTACCATGTCGCATATCAACTCATCACCATGCTCTGATTGCCATGTCGGCTGATTATGCTGGACCTGGAGAAGGACTGCTGCATTTATGAACAGTGATTATGGAATGGATTGTGTTGAAGGAAAAAACTATGACCCACCTATTTGGGGAAAAGACTTCTGCATGTGTTAAGAGCAACACGACTTTTGCCAGAAACCTTCAATTCAGCTTAAACTGTCCTTTTTGACTTAACCTGTCCATCTTGTGAACATGCTTGGATTTTTCCAGCTTTTTAGAACAATTGCTGTAAGATGTGGGGAGTGAAACTTGATCAACCATTTGAGTTATTATAAGTGCTTTCTGGGTTGAGCTCTAGCAGAATAGTTGGATCCTAAATTGAGTTGGACTTTGAAGCCACAAATCAAGGTTTCAAAGTCTCATGTTGCTGCTTGGTTAAAATGACACTGTAGACTGGCATTTAATGACATTTTGCCATATGCAGATGAGGGAAAGCCTGCATTTGAGTTGGATAGATTCTAGTCTTGATCCAGTTTTCTCAAGCATGTATATTAGTTCTGGCTTAATGTCTGGGTCTATACCAATGAGCTGCTCAGTATTTATGAAATGTTTTGCCCTTTCTGAAATAAATGTAATCTTTTAAATCTTAATGTGGACTTGTGTTTTGATAGTGGCAAAGTGGCTGGTTTACTGATCTCAAATGCAGCATGAACCTGAATGAGGTTGGTGGGGGGAAATCTTTACAACATGGAGTTGTGACATTTTCAGCTCGAGCAGAGTTGAATTCAATAAATCTATTTTGGTGTCAGTTTATGTGAGGAAACAAATCTGTATGAAGCACTCGATGGCTTATCTTGAAATTCACGATTGCTACAGGAAGAAGCAACAAGATTTTTGGAGCTCATAACTGGAAACCTACCAATTAACTGACTTTTGCACCATAGTATGCAAACCTTAATACTTGAACTCCATCAGATCCTGAAAAAAAACATCTCCATGAACAACTTATTGCATTGGTTGAAGCACTGAATGAGTGATGCGTTTGATAAGGTTTTTACTGCATAGGGAGTTTTGATGTTTCCCCAAAAGGCAAATAACCCATACAAAATGATTGCAAAGAAACAGCAACTCCATCTTCT